CCCCAAAATCGCCTCCGAGGGGCGGGGACACCTGAGGGGGGGGAACAGGTGGAAATACAGCCGAAAACACCCAAAATCACCCGAAAATACACCCAAAACCAGCCAAAAACAGCCAAAATACACCCAAAACCAGCCAAAATCACCCCAAAATACACCCGAAAATCGCCTCCGAGGGGCGGGGACACCTGGGGGGGGGGAAACAGGTGGAAATACACCCCAAAAACACCCGGAAACACCCAAAATACACCCCCAAAACTGCCCCAAAACAGCCCAAAATCCACCTGAAATATCCCCAAAATACACCCCAAAATACAGCCCCAAAACAGCCTAAAATACACCCAAAATACACCCAAAAAACAGCCCAAAACCAGCCCCAAAATCCACCTGAAATAGCCCCAAAATACACCCCAAAATCAGCCCAGAATCCACCCTGAATACACCCAAAATACACCCGAAACACACCCAAAAATACACCCCAAATACACCCAAAAATACACCCCAAATACACCTGAAAAGGGCCCCAAAATCCACCTGAAATATCCCCAAAATCCAGCCCAAAAATATCCCAAAACGGCCCAAAATCCACCCGAAATCCACCCCAAAAACAGCTCAAAAATCCACCTGAAATAGCCCCAAAATACACCCCAAAACCAGCCCAGAATACACCCAAAATACACCCGAAATACACCCAAAATACACCCGAAATCACCCCAAATACACCCAAAAATACACCCCAAAATCACCCCAAATACACCTGAAATACACCCGAAACCAGCCCAAAATCCACCTGAAAATGGCTCAAAAATGGACCCAAAATACACCCGAAATACACCCGAAATACACCCAAAAATACACCCGAAATACACCCCAAAATACACCCGAAATACACCCGAAACCAGCCCAAAATCCAGCCCAAAACCAGCCCAAAATCCACCTGAAAATGTCCCAAAAATGGACCAAAATGGCCCAAAATCCACCCAAAATCCCAAATATTCCCCCCAAAATTCATCAATCCCGGTGCCCCAGCATTCCCAAAATTCCCAAAAATTCCCAAAATTCCCAAAAATTCCCAAATTTTCCCGATTTTCCCCCGTTTGAGGGCTCGGGGTCGCCCTTGAGGGAGCCCCAGACCCCCAAAAATTCAAATTATTCCTTAAAAAAAACCCAAAAACCCCAAATATTCCCCAAAAAACCCCAAAATTCGTCGATCCAGGTATCCAAAAATTCCCAAAAATTCCCAAAAATCCCCAAAAATTCCCAAAAATTCCCAAAAATTCCCAAAATTCCCAAATTTTCCCAAATTTTCCCAAATTTCCCCGATTTTCCCCCGTTTGAGGGCTCGGGGTCGCCCTTGAGGGACTCCCAGGCCCCCAAAAATTCAAATTATTTCCCAAAAAATCCCAAATATTCCCCAAAAAACCCCAAAATTCGTCGATCCAGGTATCCAAAAATTCCCAAAAATTCACAAAAATTCCCAAAAATTCCCAAAAATTCCCGAAATTTCCCAAAAATTCCCGAATTTTCCCGAATTTCACCTGTTGGAGGGCTCGGGGTCGCCCTTGAGGGAGCCCCAGACCCCCAAAAATCCAAATTATTCCTTAAAAAAACCCCAAATATTCCCCAAAAAACCCCAAAATTCGTCGATCCAGGTATCCAAAAATTCCCAAAAATTCCCAAAAATCCCCAAAAATTCCCAAAAATTCCCAAAAATTCCCAAAATTCCCAAATTTTCCCAAATTTTCCCAAATTTCCCCGATTTTCCCCCGTTTGAGGGCTCGGGGTCGCCCTTGAGGGACTCCCAGGCCCCCAAAAATTCAAATTATTTCCCAAAAAATCCCAAATATTCCCCAAAAAACCCCAAAATTCGTCGATCCAGGTATCCAAAAATTCCCAAAAACTCCCAAAATTCCCTAAAATTCCCGAAATTCCCAAATTTTCCCAGATTTCCCCGATTTTCCCCCGTTTGAGGGCTCGGGGTCACCCTTGAGGGAGCCCCAGACGCCCAAAAATCCAAATTATTCCTTAAAAAACCCCAAATATTCCCCAAAAAACCCCAAAATTCGTCGATCCAGGTATCCAAAAATTCCCAAAAATTCCCAAAATTCCCAAAAATTCCCGAATTTTCCCAAATTTCACCTGTTGGAGGGCTCGGGGTCGCCCTTGAGGGAGTCTCTGGAGGCCTCCAGCAGCCTCAGGGCCTCGCTGACGTCGTCCTTCTCCACCTGCGAGCCCAAACGCAGCCGGGCCTGCCAGAAACGGGCCCAAATCACACAAAAACGGACAAAAACACCCAAAAACGGACAAAAATCACACAAAAACGGACAAAAACGGAGAAAAACGGACAAAAACGGGCAGAAATCACACAAAAACGGACAAAAACGGACAAAAACGGACAAAAACGGACAAAAATCACACAAAAACGGACAAAAACGGACAAAAACGGACAAAAATCAAACAAAATCACACAAACACGGACAAAAACGGAAAAAAATGGACAAAAATGGACCCAAATCACACAAAAACGGACAAAAATGGACAAAAATGGACCCAAATCACACAAAAACGGACAAAAATGGACAAAAATCACACCAAAACCAGCCCAAAATGCACCAAAATCACACAAAAACGGACCAAAATGCACCAAAATCACCCAAAAACGGATAAAAATGGACAAAATCACCCAGAATCAGCCAAAAACGCACCCAAATCACACAAAAACGGACCAAAAACACCCAAAAACAGACAAAAATCACACAAAATCAGCCCAAAATGCACCAAAATCACCCAGAATCAGCCAAAAACGCACCCAAATCACCCAAAAACAAAAACGGACAAAAACAGACAAAAACACACCAAAATCGGCCAAAATCAGCCCAAAAACGGACAAAAACGCACCCAAATCACACAAAAACGGACAAAAATGCACCAAAATCACACAAAATCACCAAAATCCGCACCAAATTCACCCAAAATCAGCCAAAAACGGCCCAAAATTGGACCAAAATCACCCAAAAATGTACAAAAATCACCCAAAAACCAGCACCAAAATGACCCAAAATTGGCCCAAAAAAAACCCCAAAATCAGCACCAAAAACAGCCCCAAAATGACCCAAAATGGGCCCAAAAATCAGCAAAAAAAAGCCCAAAAAAGGCCCCAAAATGGGCACCAAAAATGGCCAAAAACAGCACCAAAAATGACCAAAAATCAGCCCAAAAATGGCCCCAAATTAACCCAAAAATAACCCCAAAATGGCCAAAAAATCGGCCCCAAAATGACCCAAAAACGACCCAAAATCAGCACCAAAATCAGCCAAAAATAACCTAAAATAACCCCAAAAACAGCTCAAAAAATGGCCCAAATCAGCCCAAAATCGGCCCCAAAATCAGCCCAAAATGACCCAAAATCAGCACCAAAATCAGTCAAAAATAACCCAAAAATCAGCACCAAAATCAGCCCAAAATGACCCAAAATCAGCCCAAAATGGGCACCAAAAATCAGCACCAAAATCAGTCAAAAATAACCCCAAAATGACCCAAAATCAGTCCGAAATAACCCAAAAATCAGCACCAAAATAATCCAAAATCAGCCAAATTCAGCCCAAAAATCAGCCAGAAAAACCCTCCAAAATCAGCACCAAAATCAGCCCAAATTTACCCCAAAATCCATCAAAAAAATCAGCCCCGAAATGGCCCAAAATCGGCCAAATTCAGCCCAAAATTGAGGCCCATTTGGTCCAGCAGGGTCCTGGCAGATGCGTAGAGGCCGTGGGGCTGGGCCCGGTGTGGGTGTCAGGGATGGTCAGTGATGGTCTGTACTGGTCTGTACTGGTCTGTACTGGTCAGTGGTCACTCAGGGTCACTCACCAGGGCCGTGGACAGGCGCAGGATGGCCAGCAGGGTCCTGGCAGATGTGTAGAGCCCGTGCCGCTGGGCCCGGTGTGGGTGTCAGTGATGGTCAGTGCTGGTCTGTACTGGTCTGTACTGGTCAGTGCTGGTCAGTGATGGTCAGTGATGGTCAGTGCGGGTCTGTACTGGTCTGTACTGGTCTGTACTGGTCTGTACTGGTCAGTGGTCACTCAGGGTCACTCACCAGGGCCGTGGACAGGCGCAGGATGGCCAGCAGGGTCCTGGCAGATGTGTAGAGCCCGTGCCGCTGGGCCCGGTGTGGGTGTCAGGGATGGTCAGTGATGGTCAGTGATGGTCAGTGATGGTCAGTGCGGGTCTGTGATGGTCTGTGCTGGTCTGTACTGGTCAGTAATGGTCAGTGATGGTCAGTGGTCACTCACCAGGGCCGTGGACAGGCGCAGGATGGCCAGCAGGGTCCTGGCAGATGTGTAGAGCCCGTGCCGCTGGGCCCGGTGTGGGTGTCAGGGATGGTCAGTGCTGGTCTGTACTGGTCTGTACTGGTCAGTGCTGGTCAGTGATGGTCGGTACTGGTCAGTGGTCACTCACCAGGGCCGTGGACAGTCTCAGGATGGCCAGCAGGGTCCTGGCAGATGTGTAGAGCCCGTGGGGCTGGGCCCGGTGTGGGTGTCAGTGCTGGTCAGTGATGGTCAGTGATGGTCAGTGCGGGTCTGTACTGGTCTGTACTGGTCTGTACTGGTCAGTAATGGTCAGTGGTCACTCA